ATTAAGCTGGAATTGCTACGCTAATAGCATATTCACTGCAGCTGAATCTAATAGCTATGCAGCGTATATATTATCAATATATTATGTATGTAGATGGTGTTTGCTACAAAATTAATCACCCGAAAACAAACTTAAACTACTCTTGTTCTGCGTGTAAATGTGTTTATTGAATTCATTTGAATCTATTAAATCTAGTCCAGAATTTACAATTCTGAAATGGTTCAATCGTGGTGATTAAGGGACTGTGAGAATAATTAATCGGATATGCTCCATTCATTCATTATGCCCCGTTCTTGCTGAGTAAACCGATTCATGGCACTTCGATTTCCATTCTCCCATTTGTCAAACCTCACACTTGTCAAACTCGATTTGATATTTGGTGTAATTTGCAAAGGAGTGTTGAAATGAAGAAGCTGGAGATACAGAGTAGAGCAACGGGGTGTACCAAAGCATATCTAAGATAACAGCTTCTTCATTCCAATTGATTTTTCACCTTCAATATTTTGCGGGTGATTACAAGAAGTTGAATCACAGTAATCACAGCGTGTTGAAGCCGATTAATCAAATTTCTCGACACTCAGCTCATTATATTGATACAAAATTAAATATAATAAACACACAATTATGTAGTTAATAAGTATATAGGCATTCAACATGATCTTAAATGCAATTTCCATGCAAGCATTCATGCATTCTGAGTATTATGTGTATCTATTCCATCAGCTTTTATCGTTCTCTCTCCGAGCTGAATGTAATATTAAGTATACGCATCCATTGCTCTGCGTGCTCTGTGCCTGGCTACGATTTGGTTGCAGCAGCAGCTGGCCGTTCGCCTCAGAGCTGAATGTTTACGAATCTGTATATAAATAAGTTTGTATTGATTTTTCATTATTTATGTTTCATATATATTTCAATTTAATAATAAATATTCATGGCAGGCGCCCAGCGCCCAATGGCAGCGCCGTCCCCGGCCAGTGTTGGCCAATAACTGAATTAGTTGTGGCTGTAACCCAATTGATGCAATAATCTAATCATGCAAAAAACTGCACTTAATTGCGAGAGTTTCCAACTCACAAACAGAATCAATTTCATTTTGATGCTGCTTGCAATTTACATCCGCCGCAATGGGGTCGCTTAGTTCGAGGGAGCACGAAGGAGCCTTCGATATATTTAGCAGAATCTCTTGGCTCTGGCAGTGGTATAATCAGCATACAGGGTATCTATCTAGTGGTTAGCCCCGGCCTTTCACTGGCTTTTCATTTATTTTTTACGGAAACTTCGCCCGATACACACAGACAACATACAGATTTCCAGGTAGCTAAAAATGTCAGCCATTTTGTTTTAGTTGGTGGCATTGGCCACGGCTACATGTTGACAGCACCAGCCACGCCCACCAGCCGCCCCATCCCCCGGCCACTACAGCTGAGGGCGCCCAAACGCTTTGCAGCAGCTCGCAAAAAAATATTTAAAATTTATTTATAGTCAAATACGGTAGACTGCACCTGTTGTTGTTGTTGTTGTTGTTGCTATTGTTGTTGTTGTTGCTGTTGTTGTTGCTGCTGCTGCTGCGGGTGGTTGCTGCTTTGTTATTATTGTATTGCCTCTGCCTTGTCAACACTGTGTGCGTGTGTGTGTGTGTGTGTGTGTGTGTGTGTGTGTGTGTGTGTGTGTGTGTGTGTGTATGGATGTGCGTGTTTGTGTATTGACAACAAATGTTTGCTGTTGTTGCCGCAGCTGGGGTGTAAAAATGATTGAGTGTTTGAACTCAACTTCTGTGTTGCTCTCCGCGTGCTCGGCAGCAACCCGACCCGCCTATACCCTGTAAGTGCTAGATCAAAGGCAAAGGCATCGCATATCGTATCACACACATTGATTGATAAGCAATATTCACTGGAGTGGGCACTGATAGAAGTAAGGATACCCAGCAGTGGATTTTCAGTGACTGATTGACAATTGCAGCCTCAACTTTGTGTGCGGGGTATTCACAATTCGATCAGCTGCTGTGCTGGTGTTGAGCTCAATCTTTGGCAACGTTTTAAATTGTGTTTAAGTCACCTGCTTCCCGGTAAATTTCGCTTTTATTTTTTTGCTGCCGCTTCTGCTGCGACACAGGAAAATTACCAGCGCGCAGCGAGACGTTGGCCTAACCCAAAAGCGTCGACACTGTCAACAGTTGCCGTGGCAGCTGCTACAGCCTTTACCGTTGCCAGTGAAATGGGTACTGCCTTTACCTTTGCCTTTGCCTTTGCCTTTGCCTTTGCCTTTGCCTTGGAGCCCGTTTGTTTGTATGCACTTCAATAAAAATTTAGCATACGCTTCAATTCACTTCACTTGCCACACGCACTGACTGCGACACACAAGCACACACATATATACACTTTACACTAAACGCGCACCTGCAACGCCCTCTGGCGGCAGGCGTATGAAAACATTGCTTTGTATTATTACGTCTGGCATTTTTCGATTATATGTTGCCTTCGCTTTTGGGTCTCGTTTTTCAATCTAAATGTCAGCACATCTAAGCACGTGCGTGTATCTAAATAGCAGCCACTGTATGCTCTCCCTCTGTGTGTGTGTGTGTGTGTGCGTGTGTTGAGGCAAATTACTCGAGTGAAGTGCGCACTTCAAGATGAAATAGTCAAGCAACTGACACGCAAACAACTCACTTTACATCCCTTATACTCATCAATTAAACTCTGTGTGTGTGTGTGTGTGTATGTGTAAGCATACATACATACATATACTTATACATATTTGTGTTTAGCTACCTAATTTGTCAGACACAACTTCTGCAGGACGCAGCGCCTCCTGCTCCTGCTCCTGTTCCTGCTCCTGCTCGCACGCCAAATGCTGCAACGGCTGCTACGCAAACAGCAGCAGCAGCAGCAGCAGAAGAAACAAAAATAAAATAATGAAAAACATCGCATATAAAAACTGGAAGTTGAAAATTAAGCCAAGCAACAACAATTGTGGACGTGTGGGCCTGTGCGTGCGTGGGCGTGGGGCGTGTCATAAGCAGCAAATTTCAAAGAAAAATGCAAAGGCGCTAAACGTTTGCCTCAGTCATCAACTTGAAATTATTTTCCTCATTCATTTGCAGCTGTCGCCGAATTCTGGCCTGCTTACTGCATACACTCACGCACAAAAGCACGCGCACAGCGCTCACTAAGTGCCCAAGTTGAAACAGTCAAAGCAAATATGTAGACAATGCGAAAGTCCTGCCGGCTTAAAGGATATCCACGCAGCCGCTGACTTTGTCCGGCCTTCAACTTTAAACAACATCTAATTCAATTTAACTTGTTGGATTTGGCCAACATGGCGGACGTGTTGCTACGCTGTCAAGCATTCTACCCCGCCCCTCCCTCTCTGGAGCATCCGTCTTGTACAATTGCTCGGACAACGCGTCTAATTGCGGCCGACCGACTTCCAGCCCAACTTCAAAGCTCTGAGACATGAGCAACTACCTGAAGATGCCTCTCAATCATGTGCACAAATTCCTCTCGAAATGTACAGTTTGAAACATGTGCTCTAAAGAGTTGTGTTCCTTATGAAGACTGGGCATGCTCTATGGCTAAAGAGCTAACAATCAACTATTACAAATATATGCTATATATAGTCCAAGTGTAAGCTAAAAAAGTGAACTTCTCTTAAAAATTGACTGAAGAATATATGTATATACATAGATACGTAAATATATCCATTATATATGTTACACTTTACTTCTTTATTATTATTATTATTATTTTGTATACCCTGAACCCATTGAAAATGGGAAATCAGGGTATAATGGTTTTGTTAAAAGTATGTAACAGGTAGAAGGAGGCGTGGCAGACCCCACAAAGAATATATATTCTTGATCAGGGCGACGAGCTGAGTCGATTTGGCCCTGTCCGTCTGTCTGTCCGTCTGTCCGTCCGTATGAACGCGTCGATCTCAGAAGATATAAGAGCTAGAGACTTGAAATCTTTTTCCTAGGTCCGTGTATATCACGCGCATATCAAGTTTTTCTACTACTCCCGATATTTTATTATCGATCAAAAACCTTATCGAAAGCTAGTTATTTAAATATATCTCCTACACCTTTAGAGCTAGAGCTTGCAAATTTTATATGTAGACTTATATGTATTTTATATAATTTCGATTTTTGTTGTAATTTACCCCCCACCCCTATATCCACCCCTTACCCTCACCTTTGTACAAGGCGTATTTCAAGTACTAGAGACTTGTGCTTGAAAAGTACATACATTTTTATCATATAATTAGTTAGCAGTTAGCAGAGCGCGTTCTAATACGTGCGTGTGTATGTATGTGTGCCGAAAAGAAGTGCAGAGTGATTAGAATATCAGATTAGAGGGTTCGGGGTATCTACTAGTCGAGCAGTCTCGACTAGAGTCTTCTTACTTTTTTTTTTTTTTTTTTTTGTGTTCTTTTTATGTTGGGTAGTCACTGCAAGTCTTATCCGAGTCTCTAGCACTGAGGATCCAGATTTGGTGTTTTTCTTTTTGCAATGCCCCTGGCTCGCGAAAGTCTTGCTACAGTATCTATATATCTATATCTATTTCCGTGAGTATTTATTTCAAACATCAAGCACAAAACGAATATACAGTATACTTTAAAAGACCTTCGTTATATCCGGCAGACGCTTTAATCGTATAAGTTGGCCTTGAGACTAGAATTTTTATCGCGATAACCGTACGGACGCTATAAGCGGAGTCCTTATAACTTGATTCTACTCTACATCATTTCATTGACTGAGTGTGTAGAAATAGCCAATTCAGATTCCAAGGTGGTAGATTTGAGAAAGTTGAATTGCTTATGAAGGCCCGACTACGATGCTTCCATTTCATTTTCAAAATGTGCAATGTATTTGCTATTACACTTACTCTCGACATCACTCTTTAAATATTTAAGTATTCGGTTAAAGGCAATGATCTTTGCCAACTTGTATATTTACTTTCTTCAAATTGGATAATGTACATAGTTTTTCCCTCTCTTTGCAGATACAAAGCACATATTAACATACATAAGTGATTGTGTAAGTATCTCTCTGGTAGACCTGCGTGAAACGTGACACCTACACACACTCAATTCATTCGAATATACACAAGCACACTCACACACACATGTTTATGTGCTTACACTTATACATATATGTATCTAGATACTCGAAGACATTTGATTGATGATGTTGACAACAAATTTGCGGCAGCTCGCAGCTCGTCGTCGAATGTGAAAAACTGTTCATGTGGAATATTTTTAAACGTTCGACTAATAAATATTACAAAATCCCATTAAATTAATTGCTGTACATATGTATGTGCACATATGTATATGTATGACTGTATTCGCCCTTTATAGCCAGCATAAAGTGCAGAGTGTTTTTAAATGTTGAATGAGCCACAGAAGTCCTAGGAGGGGAATGACTTTTAGTGAGTCACTCTGTCCTTGAAGCGGTCTTCTAGAAGGGCTAAAATATTTAGCTATAACCAAAAATCGTGATAAATCAGCGAAACTCCGCTGCTATGTTTAGTGCTTGTAGACATTATTTGAGAAGGCTGAGAAGAAGTGAATTAAATATATTCTTCGGGATTGCAAAAATGGGCTTGGAAAACTTTTGTATTTGCAGCCCTAAGGTTAGGTGCTGAGGTGAAGAGATAACAAGCCAGACTCAACTAAGAGATGAACTAAGTGCTACCCTATAAAAGTAGTGGACCTATACACAGCTCCTGCCCATACTTAGGCTATTTGAATTGATTTGAGACAAGGTCAAAGACTGACAGCTGATGAATAGTATTCTACAGCCTTGTCAACTGTACATGGTAATACTTCGCTGACTGAGAGTCTATTCTGTGATCTATATTCCCACTTATGATGCCATCATACCCCATTTAAGGCCATCTGCAATGGGTGCTGGATATGAAAACTTCACAAATCGAAATGAAACGCAACGAAACAAAGGCAAACAAAGCGGGACAAAGCCAAATAGACGGATTTCAAGTAACTACATATGTTTCATTGCCCGCGGGCGAAGCCCATTTAAAATTCAGCAGCAAAGAACAAAAAGTTTTCGTACCACATCGGACTTTTGCTATATAAATGTTATAGCACATATACGTATGTATGTGTATGTGTATATTTATATACAATATATTGGATGTACATTGTGCGCGCACGCACACACGGTAGCACATTAGAGGCTATTCACAATGAACGAAACAAAAGACTTGCAGTCCCTCGAGATGGGACCGCTTTATAATTTCAATTTATAATAACCGCACACGAATGCCCTGTGCACAGTCACACAGGCTCTCAATTGTCTGGACCAGGTGGCGTTTATTTGTATATATTAACGAGCACATTTGCATTCGGCTCGGCTTCTGCGCTCCCATACACACACACACGCACGCACGCACACTTGACATAGCATATACTGCGAGGCAATTGTGAACACATTGATCTTGAGCCGAATCGAGCCTGTTGCTAAACTTCCTCTGCCAACTTTCGTAATTAAAAAAGTTTCATTCTCATTGGCTTCAGGACAATTACCAGATTTTCTCTAAAGAATATATCGATTCGAAAATAGCGAGTGAGTTAAATAAACTGGATTTTCGGATCTTAAATATGTGGATATAGCACTTGGGAATAGGCTTAGGATGGTCGGGGGGGAAACTATAGATGCAGATACACATATAGATACAGATACAGATACAGATACAGATACAGATACAGATACAGATACAGATACAGATACAGATACAGATACAGATACAGATACAGATACAGATACAGATACAGATACATATACAGATACAGATACAGATACAGATACAGATGCAGATACAGATACAGATACAGATACAGATACAGATACAGATACAGATACAGATACAGATACAGATACAGATACAGATACAGATACAGATACAGATACAGATACAGATACAGATACAGATACAGATACAGATACAGATACAGATACAGATACAGATACAGATACAGATACAGATACAGATACAGATACAGATACAGATACAGATACAGATACAGATACAGATACAGATACAGATACAGATACAGATACAGATACAGATACAGATACAGATACAGATACAGATACAGATACAGATACAGATACAGATACAGATACAGATACAGATACAGATACAGATACAGATACAGATACAGATACAGATACAGATACAGATACAGATACAGATACAGATACAGATACAGATACAGATACAGATACAGATACAGATACAGATACAGATACAGATACAGATACAGATACAGATACAGATACAGATACAGATACAGATACAGATACAGATACAGATACAGATACAGATACAGATACAGATACAGATACAGATACAGATACAGATACAGATACAGATACAGATACAGATACAGATACAGATACAGATACAGATACAGATACAGATACAGATACAGATACAGATACAGATACAGATACAGATACAGATACAGATACAGATACAGATACAGATACAGATACAGATACAGATACAGATACAGATACAGATACAGATACAGATACAGATACAGATACAGATACAGATACAGATACAGATACAGATACAGATACAGATACAGATACAGATACAGATACAGATACAGATACAGATACAGATACAGATACAGATACAGATACAGATACAGATACAGATACAGATACAGATACAGATACAGATACAGATACAGATACAGATACAGATACAGATACAGATACAGATACAGATACAGATACAGATACAGATACAGATACATATACAGATACAGATATAGATACAGATACAGATACAGATACAGATACAGATACAGATACAGATACAGATACAGATACAGATACAGATACAGATACAGATTTTTACAGGGTATCTCACTTCTAATAACTTGCTTTCCCACTTTCACTGTGACTCTAAAGTCTGAAGACGATGCTTATGTAAATTACAGGTGCTGCTATTTAAATATGGCTCTAGACAGCCAAGAGAAGGTAGCGAAATAACGGCATATTCATTATTCTATTTCTTTGTCGCTGTTGTTGTTGTCGTTGTTGTTGTCCTGTTGCCTGACATTATTTCCAGCTTCAGATGCTGTCAGTTTTTATTAAAAACTTCATTCTATCCTGCACTGAAGCCTTAATAGCAACAAAAGCAACGGGACAGCTCCATTAAAAAATATGACTATGTTTTTCCCAAAGTTCTCTCACAGTTGGTGCTACGAAAACGCTACTGCGAGGCCTTGAGAGTGTTTCACCCATTTTATCATAAAATAAAATAAATGTTGAGTTTTGACTGACAATGCGATGGAAGTTTGTACATAATACTCGTATATGTGTATGCATGGTGCTTGAGATTTTCTATATAATAATTAAGAGTTTCTGGAATACAAATTTGTCATAATAAAAAATTATGTGACAGTTGAAATTGTGAAAATAAATGCCACATCTTTACCCAAGCTAACTAAATTATGACATTCTTGTGATATGCATCTTTAGTATATGATGCTTACGACTATGATTCATAATAAAGGACATACTATACTAATGTAAATACAAATGTGAATGATGAATGTGTGATTTATATTTCCAGAATATCTGTACGCCTTCGTGTTTACTCGTCTGTCCGTTCCTGTGAACGCAGCAAAGTATAATATAATAATAATAATAATAATAATAATAATAATAATAATAATAATAATAATAATAATAATAATAATAATAATAATAATAATAATAATAATAATAATAATAATAATAATAATAATAATAATAATAATAATAATAATAATAATAATAATAATAATAATAATAATAATAATAATAATAATAATAATAATAATAATAATAATAATAATAATAATAATAATAATAATAATAATAATAATAATAATAATAATAATAATAATAATAATAATAATAATAATAATAATAATAATAATAACAATAATAATAATATTTTGCTATAACCCATCTCACTTAAGAATTATCGATATAAATCGATATTGCTCACCTGTTAACATCTGTAACTGGAAGCATATGTATGAAAACATCTAAATTTGAGGACCTTCCTATCTTCCCCACAATTTTGCATTCCATTTCAAATACTAAAGACATGCACTTTTGGCAGCTACGCACATCTGGATTTCATTAGAATGCTCTGAGAATTTGATTAAGAAAGTTTATGTGGAAGAAAAGTTATTCAACAATTAAGTTAGCATAGAAAACGCACAAAGTGCAGAGCACGTTCTTATGTGTGTGCGAGTATATATATATGTGTGTGTGTGTGTGAGAGTGTATGAAAAGAAAGCTGAATGATTAGAAGCAGCTCTGCATTAGGCTTAGGGTATCTACTAGTCGAGCACTTTTGAGTAGAGCATCTTCACTCTCTCTAATTATAAAGCGAATAGAATTATAGCACCTCAGCTGAACAGAGAAGGACATGGGTAGATCATTGTGAATGGGACCGTATGGTAATTAGTGATGCAATTACTTTCCACAATAGAAGAAAGCACGTTGGAGTTGGCTGCGAAAGAGTCCCGCAATTTGTCATGCGGCTGGACACATAGTAGTGGTGGCATGGCTCAGATTAATGTCTCCAAACAGTTGTCGGCGGCGTGCAGCTGGGTGATAATCTCATCTGTGGGGCTATAAAATTTAATGTGCTTAACATCTGCAGCGGCGCGACGGCTGCATTTGAAATTTGGTCCGTTTGACGCAGTGCGAACAAGCTGGCAAATGGCGGCGCCTCCATTTTGTCGCCACAGAATGCTTTTCCGCTAAGCTGACATTCATTTACCTCATCATCGTTCGCCTGGAGTGTTTTCAGCTGTTGTTGCTGCTGCTGTTGCTGTTGGTTAACTGTTTTCACGTTCTCGTCGCGCTGGCTTTCAGTCTTCATTTCTTTTCAATTTTGGCCGGGCAGCTGTGTAAACGGTTTACGTAATTTACAGCACACAATTTTTGTTGCTAGCAGCAGCAGCGCCACGCAATGCGACGGAGTGTGAAACGAA